TTATTTCCTCCTCTATACCAACAAGCTTAGGAGCTACCTCACGGTTACATATAGTTCTGCAATATCTCAGGTGTACTCCCTTGTGGAGTAATTCCCACAAACGGCCTTTTGAACTCGTGTAAATTTTAAATCATAAAAGAAGACGACCTAAAAAATAACCAAGGGAATGTCTTCATTAGAGACAGCTCGTAGAACAAATCACGTTCGTGACACGCTGCTGCACTTCAGTTGCTTATCGCTGCTCTTGAAGGCAAGTGGCTCCTTTGAAATGTGAATGTGGAGTATCGATTAAGAGGTTTCTGCAAGGAATGTGTCTCATTTTGGGAAGTTTATGCACTCTTCCTTTGGGTGAGTAAGCAGGGCCTAACCCTGCTTAATGGTTAACGTAGTCGTATTGAAACCAGTGGGACTATGCCCCTACGTGGTCCTTTATGCCCCTTTTAAGGGCTGCGTGAATCAGTGCTTTGTTTTAGGTATTTGCTTGCTTTGATGAAAATCTTGATGGGAACTGTAGTTCCTGCTGCTCTGTAATTGTATTTCTATAAGGAGAGCCATGCTGTCTAGAAAAGAAGGACCCAATATGAATTCTTTTTAAAAACTAGTGAATTAATTTTTTTCCTGAAGTGTTACAACCCCATATGACAGTAAGATTATCATCATAGGTGTATTGCAAATTAAATGTTTAGACTGCTTAGACTTACAGGGAAAAAAAAGAGTATCAATGGCATGGTTTTAAGATGGTGCCTTTTAAGGGCTGATCGGTTCAGCTCAGTTCAACAAACAGTACAAAGATTTTAAAAAGAAGGCTACTTGCTGATGGCAATTTGACGTTTTCATCACCAATACGAAAAACATGGGTTTAAATATACAACAGGCTTTGCCAGATATGTGTGCCTTGTGTAACTGCCATCAAAGAAAGCTTTTTTATATTCTTACGGGAGCAGGGTAAGTCTGAATCCCAGTCCCAGGAGCTATACATGCTTAAAGGTACTGTACAAAGAAATCAGTGCGATGGAATGTACAGATTTGGAGGACAGGACTTGGCAGCCATTGTGTCCCCATTAAGTAGTGCTTAAATTTAGACCAGTGAAGCTGGTTTACCAGTTAACTGACTTGGATAGCTCTTTTTAAGCTCCTTCCAAGGAATATTTATAACTTCCTGAAAGAGGCCTCCTGACCACGCGAACAACCTCTTGTCAACAGCTTGTTTCTCTTCTCCCTGCCATTTAGTCTCTGTGACCACCCTCACTTCACAGCTGGCATCCACAGTCCCCAGTTGTTGCAGAACTTGCCAGCCAGAATCAGTGTTCCTTGTCTGAGTCCCAACCCTGACTGAGATTCTCAGTCCAAAGAATCTATCTTGTTTATGCAGCTCATCTAGACTGACATCAGTCTCCTTCAAGGCAAGAAATATGCGTGCTTTGAGAGATGTGCATCAATTCTAACTACCAATTTGTCTCTTTAATGTCACAGAAGTTCAAATATGAGGCTGATTTCATGCATTCAAGACTGTCTAGAACATTTTCATAACAGAGAGTTGTATCAAAACATCTATTTGCTTTATGAAAAATTGAAGAGACCGGTGCACTCTTGCTTTCCAGTCTGAAGTGACCACAAGGCCCTGAGACTAATAAAAAAGTTTCTCAAAAAAAGCTTGGATAAATCTGACACATCAGCAAACTGTAGTCCTTTGCATATTATAATGATTCCCAGGAGTCCCAAAGTGCTTGTTGTACATTAATGGATTATGCCTTACAACATCAGAGGGTACCAGAATAAGCATTACCTATTTACTTGTCCGATAGAAATGTACTTAAGTTCTGAACGGGATCCATATTTTAGAGGTCTCAAAGTTCAAGAGTTTTTATCACCAGGTCTATATTTCAAGTTGATCTCTTTTCTTTATAAGGTTGCACTATTTTCATTGTTAATATCCCCTCTTCCTGAAAAGTATACATCTTCATACTGTAACTCAGCATTTCTGTTGTGCATTTTCATTAGTTGGCTGGATTTTCTATTTACTAGTAAATGGATTTCTGAGTTACTGCAATTAATGATGAAATTTCAGATTTTCTCACCTCTTTTCCTTGCCAGCTGTGAACATTTTAATTGTTTCAGTTTTTGCCTGTTCTTGAAGCACAGGCAAAATGACCTCTGTTTTGGTGGTTTTATCTTGAATAGAAGCCCTTATAATTTCTGAAGATCTGAGGGAGTTGGGAATTGTATTTGTGTTAGACACAACAGGAGTATTTATTATTGAAGGAAGCTCTAGCACAGCAATATTGTAACTGATTAAACAGCATTGTTTGTCTCAGCAACAATTAGCATCTATAAACTGTGTAGGCATCCTTCATTTTTATCTGCCATTCCTACCTCAACACACTTCTGCCAAATGTGGTATAGTGCTTGGAAAAAATTGTGTATATGCTTGCCTCTGCCTATTGGCAATAAAACAGATGTACAGGGTCAGAACCTAGGATTATGACCTAATCAAAATGGTCAGCAAGAAAATACGAATGAGGTATTCTTGGTGTAGCCGTGTGTCTGCAGCATTGCTGTCGGCAATGGCCCGACCTTACAGTTTTGCGGGGTTCTGCCTGGAATAATCTAAGTCAACTTCATTTTGTAGGAAAAAAAGGGGGAAAAAAGCTTGATTATCAGTGCTATTCTGTCTGAAATTTTGTCTTGTAGAATACTTGAGCAATGTGTTTGAGATAGATACATTCATTCAGTTTTTGTTATTGGCTGGTTGGTGTTTGATTCCACCTTCACCGAGCTCAGGTCAAGAGATGGAGAAGCCTGGACTCTTTCTGTCATGGCTTCAGCTTGAGGCTTGAGTCACCAAAAAGCTAGCTAAATATCTATGATGCATATTTAGTATTGCTGAAGTGAAAACAGCTAATCAGTTAAACCGTTCAAAGCAGATATTTTGCTACTGGGTATTATTAATCACAACTGACATGTCTTGTAGAGTTGTGCATTTTTCTGTTTAAGAAGCTCTCTACCAAAATGCATTTCATCCAGTTATAGCTAGCACGCTTTGTTTGGTTCCTTTGGGTGTCGTAATCGTATATTTTACTTGTAAATGGCTCAATAGTTGAACAGATTAGACCTGTGCTTGGGGAGCCCTGCCCAGTCAGTTTACAGGTACGGAGTTAACATTTTCAGACAAATTTCATAGGTGGTACGTGCGCATCTCACTAATTCTCTGTCATTATATCCATATATGAGCTTTGGCTTTAGGAGCACAGTAGATACTAACCATAGTTTCATTTACTATAAATATTTAATAATTATGAATGATTGATGACCTGATTTTTAAGCAAACTGACAGAGTTGTGTGAGATAAAGTCTAACTTTGTATAATTGTCTAAGCTGCATTCTAAATATTATATGGGCTTTGTTGTGCTATTAAGATGCATGCCTGATCAATATTTTCATTAAAAATATTAGCACATGGGTAAAAAACAGAAAAATACACTTTTTATAGTCATATTGGCAATAAAATTAATCTGAATGGACTTCCTTGTGGATACAAGAATTTCTGTATTTGCCAATTTGCATTCCATTGTAAGGCATGCCTTCTTTATGTATTACTTTAAAGATGTTTTTTCAGGAGAATGAATTTTTTATAACACAGCACTAATAGCCGGCTGTGTTTCAGTGACTACTTTCACCTATTTTGCTTTCAATTTTTTCTAATTGCCGTTGATCTCCCTGGGGCTTTGAAGCCAAAAAAAACCTCATCTAATGCTTATCTAATTATCAGGGCTCTTGCGTCTATAAAAAAATCTCATTAATAATGCTGCATTCTGATTCATGCAACCAGCTGCGGGTCTGCGTACCTCTCCCGCAGATGTTTTTGTGTCTCAGATTAGTGAAGAATTACTTTGCCCATAGGTGCCACTGTTGCTCTACACACACATCTGAATGAATCGTCGATGTCCTTCACTTGAAAACCCGACCTTGAAAAAGCAAACCTAAATCACAGTGACTGAAATGTTGCAGAGGTAAAACTCTGTACGGACCATGGCCAGAGGCTTGCCCATGCCAAGACTAAGGTATATGCTTTATCTTGTTCCTAAAAATAATTGTATTGTTGCTAATCTTGAGCAAAATTGATTAAGAGATAAGTATGCATTGAATTAATTCCAGATATAGTTAATCTAAGTCTTTAACTTGCCGCAGGTTTATTGTTGAGCCTCAGACTAACAGCAGCTGAACCTTGCAAATATCTCCTTTGGACCAAATGTGATTTAAATGCAAAAGTTGCTCATCAGTGCAATAAGAATTTGGATGTCTGTCAGCACTTTTTACGTAGGTCGTTCACATACTTTCTTAACTGTGTCAGGGTGGCCTATCCACCAGCATAAAGGCCACCTACAGATATTTCTTCTAGATATTTCTAGTAGATATTTCTTCTTTCTGTTTCGTAATGTAAGCTCAGCTAATGTAGTTCGCTTTACAGCTTATCTACCATTAATGCCATTCAGTATGTAAAGCCAAGGGCAATCAAGGGCTGCTTGCTTACTGCATTGAGAAAAACCTTGGTTCACCTTGTCCTTAGGTAGGCAGCCATTTCGTATGTTTACCTTATTGTTGGATGTTTCAGACACATTATGGAATAACACAAGTTTCTTTTCTACCCTTTCTTCAAAGAAATGTATAACAAGCTGTGTAAAAATTAAAAAACAACCAAGGAAAAGCAGTTCAGAGATTTATATCCTTTCAGGTTCAATCCTACTCTGTTTTGGTTTTTTTCTTGCTGCAACTATTCATTGACTAGAAACCAACAGATGACAAATATTTTCAGTGATTTATTATCTTTGAAAATATTCCCAGCCATCTGCAGGTCAGAATGTAACCCAACAACATGTTCTAACTAGTAGACAGTCCTCCAACTATATAACCTAATTCTCATTCCTCCTGCATGGAACAGATCACTCTTACACACAAGCAGCAAGCTATATTAAGCAGTTCTTAAGATCACCCTAAGCAGTTTACACAGAGGCGTCCCTTGCTTTTCTGTCTCTCACGAGTTGGCTGATGGCTTGCAGATATTTCTGACCCCCTTCACAGTCCAGGATTCTACTAATGTTTTGGGGAAGCTGGCCCTGGTTGGAAGGGAGGTCATGAGTTTTAGCTGGCTGTCTCGGCTGACGAGTAGGAAAAGCAGAAATCGGTGGGCTTTCATAGGAAATGGTGTAGACACTGTTCATCACTCCAGCTTCTTTCTTGTGCCATTTTTTCATCAGGTGCTCAAGAAGGCCATAGTTGGTGGGTGGTGCTGAGACAGGAAATGGTTAAATGTTAGAAACAATAGAATTAAATTTTTGGTCCTGGTGTTTTTACTCCACAGTTGTCATAGGGAATATTTGTACTGTTTTGACAGCAGATTAAGGACAAAACAGATCTTTTTGTTCCCAGGGCACGTGTGTCTACTCTCTGGCTGGAACGGAAAATCAGTGTCAGGTATCAATAGGACACTAGTAATGGTATAAGTGTAAGGAGTCCTGATTCTTCATATTCTCTCTGGTAGATATTAAAAAAGTTAGCAGAGCTGTACGTGTCACTTAAATTCGGAAACATAATAATACTCTGTGAATTCTCCTGCTAGTTGTATCTCACAGCTCTCCTTGTTTCCAGCTGGTGTCTTGCATTATTGCGTAGGGGAGAGAAATCTGTTCATTGACACTGTCTTTCACTGCTTCCTGTGGTGATTAAGTATTGTTGCTTGGATAACATTTCCACTTTATCAATCAGAAAAATAAGCTACTGACTGGGTAAGAAACTAGCCAAAAGTCACTGTAAGATCCATTTTCAGAATTAAAACAGAAGGAGGTTCCTGGCTCTAAGGCTGTATGTTGACCACTGAACCATCTGTTTGAATTAATGCCAAAAACTACCAAGAATGGGGAAATCTGATTTCTGAGGAATCCAGGCAAACTTGCGACCATTCCAGCTGCGGAGAGGAGGCAGCACAGAGTTATAACCGTGTCTATTGTATTTGTCATCATACTCCAATAGTAAATTCTGGCTTCTTGGTTCCTCATGATGGGCAAAGAAGTGCCACATTGGCAGGCCCTGAAAGGAGACATACATGGAACCATGCTATTTGTCTTTATACATAGCATTCAGATGGCATAGCATGCTTTTGAGTCAGATTTGTACTGCCAGTGATGTCACAAAATTTTGTCAGTATTTATATTACTTTTACTTATAATCTAATCCCTAAAAATAAGGGCATTTTCATTTCAAGTAATGTAAATTTCAAGTTAAATTAAGCAACTACATCTGTGTGTCATGAGATCTGATTAGTCTGATTTCAACACATGCATCACGGATTTGCAGATACATTTAAGAAGCCTGCAAATGAAAAGCTGATTGTCATATGCTGCTTAAGTGTTTCATTGTGCACTAGCATTACCTATACTACCTTCCAACTGGCTGTCAGGAGAGGATGGTAAGAATGCTTGGGGGTGGAGAGGCACCTTGGAGAAAGGAACATTCTAGCAATGATACTTGTGGGAAAAGCATTGTTGTGAAAGATTTGGGACTCATTTAAGTGCAGTTTGTTCCTGTGAATCAGAGGTGTGCTGATAAAAGTAATTCTCTTTTACTAGCAAGATCGTATTATAGCCCAGGGAATGTCCTGGAGACTCAATACTCAGTCCGAGCTGGTAGTAACGTGCTGATTTTCTTCATGTGCCCTGGTCCCCCTCCAAGGCAGAGACCGGGAAACCACCAGAGAGTACCAAGAAGTATGTGCCGTTTGTCTACCCCGGAAAGGCATCCTGCTTTAATCAAACCTACAAGGGAGCTCTGGATCCTGTAAACTGGCTGCAGTTTACTTTTACACATACAGTTGTTTAAGGATATAAAATATGATTTAAGTATTAGTCAAAGATCATTGCTGTTTGGAATGTTGGCACACACAGCCCTACATTTGAAATTTCTCATTTTTTTCCATCATGGTTCTCCTTAGTGTTTGGTTGGGTTTGTGATCTGGAAGGCAAATGAAGTCTGTTCTGTATATACTGCTGCCGAGTTTCCCAGTGTCTTTTACAAACTAGACAGATATGCAACATTCAGTATAGCTAAGGCAATCTGCTCATTACAGAAGCTCTGTTCCAGTGGTGCTTTCTTCATCTACGCATTTAAAAAGCACTTGTTTGGAAATAAGTCCATGCTCTGTACTTTTTCTCAGATGGTAAAGTCAGCTGGTATAATCAGCCATTGTAAAATTCTGGACTGATTCCTTGGTGTAAATTCAAGATATTGTACAGCCCTTGAAAAATTATTCATGGTTTGGTGTTAAATACTTTCACCTGCCAAGTGGACTAGCATCTGAAAAGGACGAATGAACCCTTTTTTTTTTTAGCTCCCTTTGTTCCTACTTCTGCCGCAGCAGACCAGTCTCTGCAATATAGTCTAGTATTTTGCTCCAGGAAAAAAAAAAATCTGAAGGAAGTCATTTTAGCAGAGTTAGGAGGATTTGCCCTAACTTCTGCAATATTGAACCTAACTGGCATGTTTTGACAAAGTTAAATGCCTAATGATAAAATTTTGCTCAGCTCTTAAGCAGGACATGCAACCTATTGAGCAGCTCTGCTAGCAAAGATGCTCTTGTTTATACAAGCAAATGAAACTAATATCCAAATTAGTAAAGATCCTCTGACACAAGTAACAATAACTATTAACTTATGGAAGGGTTAATGAAGCCTCTCTTGTATAATGTTGGTATATATTATTAACTTGTATATATTGTTGTTGTATAGTTGTAAGTTGTATAGCGGTCTGAAGTGATTGCCAGAAAAAGTGCTGTAGCATTTTTAATTGGCTAACGTTATGCCCAGTGTGAACCACACCATACAACCCATGCTCAGGCATTGCTTCTCGCCTGGCTTAGAGAGAAGAATTGCGGCTAATAAACAAAATGAATGAATGCAGGCCAAGCAAGACGCTCATCCTTCTGCCTTTTATTACTCATCTGAGATGAACCTGGACTCTAGCTCATGACAGCATTAGTATACCACCTCCAGAGCATTGGTTCTGACCCACTCTATTTCTGCTCTCACACTTCTTTCCTGATCTTACCCTTTTCCTCTCTTCCAGCCAGTTTCCAACAAGAACTTCAGTAGAGTATTTGAGTTCAATTTTCCACCAATCCTGTCCATCTTTTTGCAATGCAATCATATTTCTTTGTCTCACCAGTGCTACCCTCCCTGGTTGTTGGAACTGTCCTTCAAGTTACGTGGGTGAAAGATTACTCAGTAGTCCAGTGCCGAAACGGGGGCAGAAAGGGGCTCCGCTTCTGCCTGCCTGTGTGCTGAGAAACGTGGGTGATGTGTGGAACTGCTTGGCTGTAGAACCGTTTGTGTTTGCTACCCCCACGGTGACTGTTGTTCCAGTAACCACATTCTAGGCTGCAGCCTATTTACTGCTGACCGAACCAGTGGCTCCATAACCCACTGAAGTCAGCTGGGTTTTTTTCTCTAATACAGTTCAGAATCAGAGCACCGAGGATGTCTCTAAACATTGTGATGTAAGTGACATACTCCTCTACACCAACACACCACACATACCTACACAACACACAGCCTCTTGTCATAGACAGACACATTTTATTCTAATGAAGTGGAACAAACCAGGGTGGCCATTCAAAATAACGCTCTTCTTTATTGACATCGCTAAGATAAGGGCTTGCAGCATGGTACAAGCTTGTATAAGGTTTGCATATACCATGTTCCAACTAACAGCTGGAATGAGGTTCTGATGAGCCTTGTTTATCGTTGTTAATGGCTGCCCTTGATTGACTACCCATCACCTGATATTAAATATCCTAAAAAGATATTTTCCTAGGTTGAGGCATGAATAGACTCGTGGAATCTAAGATATTTACTATAAGCTTTTTAGGAAGTTAACAATGCTGTCCAATCCCCTTTTCCCAGCTGGAAATGAGAAACCACAATAATCATATAGGCTTATGATTCCATGGAATCCATCCTCGAGGTGGTACCAGGTCACTCGAACACCGTTGTCCTCCAATCTCTTCTTGTAAAGCAAGCCATCGTCTCTTAGCACATCGTATTCACAAGTCAAGATGAAAGACTCGGGCAGCTGGTGAACAACAGCATCTTCGGCTAACAGTGGACACAGGTTGGGCTCACAGAATCTTTTCACTGTCTCATAAACTTCAGCTATAAAATCAGTGGGTCTAAGTGGCTTCACACCTCTGACCTTAAATTTTTCAGGGATGTTATCTGGACTCACCCACTTCCTGTACTTCAGCCTCATATCTGGAGGAATATGAGACCCCTCCAAGACCTCTTGCATATGCAAGGAATCCCCATTTAGGTACTGCAAAGCAAAGAAAGCAGCACGTTCTCGGAATAAAAGAGGGACTCCTCGATTTTGATGATAAGATGGTAAATTGAAGTCCAGTGCCTGAAGGCCTGGGTAGATCAAGATCTGAGCACGTAGTTTGGGGAGGTCTGATCTCCCTGCAAGGGTCTGGCTAACAGCAGCTGCTAGGTTGCCCCCAGCACTGTCCCCGCAGACAATTACGTTGGCAGGATCCACGCCATAGTGCTCCATATTCTTCATAAAGTGTACGGTGGCATTAAGACAGTCTTCATACGCAGCAGGGTATTTGTGTTCAGGAGCTAAACGATACCTAGCACACAAAAGGAGACAAGTATAAGAGAAGGAAATACCATTAGTATTAATCAGGAAACAGTATCCTATTCCAGCCCTATTGTTTTAGGTTTTTTCCCCTCTAGCTTAGGATATTCATTAGCTCCCAAGCAGGCATTCCTCAGTTAGTGATTGAGATAAGCTGTAAATTGTGCATTCAATCACAACGACCCAGTAAAGTAGGACTGTCTTCTGATTAAGAGTCTGGCTGAGACTTTGCACATTTCTTAGTCATGCTGAAAGCTCCCTGTGGATTCTTGACAAGATAATTTAATCGTTCTGTGCCTCTGCTTCCTATGTGTAAAACGGGAGTAATACAGTGTAATTATTCTCTCTTTTTCTACAAATCACAATTGTTTGGAACATCTTATTACATGTTCATATGTTCAGCACAAGGAAGACTTTTTTTACCTAAGTTTTTGATTGGCTTTTATAGATTTTCTTAGTGTGCCAAATATTTCCATTTGGGTCTTTTCTGAGTATATCAGGGCATCAACAGTTAAGAGCCGTGAAATCTCTGTTATCACTATTTGTCTCTCTATGGACTTCACTGAATTCTACAGAAATTTCTCTGCAAAAAAGAACATCTCCAAAACCAGTGCAGTTCTGCTGTGGCACCACAGCAACAATAATCTCCCAACAATAGAACTGGGTAGGGTTCACTTACTGAACAGATACAACTACCGATTCACTTTCTCTGGATATGTAGCGGCATACTTTTTCATAGGTATCTGGAAAAGAAATATTTTCATTAGCGCTTTGCTATTGCCCTAATCTTTGAGACAGCTAGGGAATGTTCATTCCAGAAAGGCATGTATTTGTCTTCAGACTTCTTCACAAATCCCATGCTGAAACCTCCTCTTATTTCAATTTTATAAAAAGATGAGAATGTTCTTTCTACATTACTACAATTCCTCCAGCAAATATCTTACCAAGACTTCCAAATACCCAGCCTCCTCCATGAAAGAAGATGATACCTCTCCTCCGCCCATCAGAGGTAGCTTTAGGCTGATAAACCCTCACAGGGACTCTGTTAAACTGCAGATCCTGGATGAAGAGCTTTGGATCCACCCCTAGTTTCCGTCCCTGTCGCACATATCGGCCAAAAGTGATTTGACTGCAGAGTCCAGTCTTCTCCAAAATCTTTCCCTGTTAAAGGTAAAAGAAATTAAGGCTTCTTTGAAAGTCTTGAGTTAGCCAAGGTATGAAAACTCTGCACCATACTTACATTGAACTGTTATTTGAGGGAAATTTTAAAGAAGCACAGAACTTACCAAAAAAAAAAAAAAGTGGTAATGTTGTAAAATATGACTACACTATAAGAAGATGTAATAATAACAGCACCAGAAGTTAGAATAACTACTGTGAGGACTGTTCATAGAGGAGAATAATGGCTATGCAAGCATCTCCCAACCTCTCTCTAAATGGCTTCCTGTACACCAAGTACTGGCAGGAGAGCGCATTCTAATATTGCTTGTTTAGTCCTTGGGTTTTGCCTTAATAAACCCACAGGAAACAGTGAGGAAAAGTAACTCCACAGCTGGTTTTCTTGATAGGAATGCCCAGTCCTAAGAAAGTGAGAGATCCCAGGATACAGTCAGAAAACAGCATTTGTTTTCGGTTTGCCTAGATTAGTTTTGCCAAAAAGGAGAAGTTCTACCTTTTATCGTATCGGCAATCACTGGACTCTGAAGAATCAGAGTGAAAAATCTATGCTTCACATACAGCAATTTGACCCTTGTTGTCTGATAAAAATAAAAATCTCTGATTCAAGAAAAACAATTTTCCCAAGCTCTCACATCCTACAGACTGTAAAAAATTTACTTCCATTACTCAAATCCAGTGTCATTCTGGTATCAGATCAGAAATTTTATATAGGCCATCCAAACTGGCTGTCTTGGAGTACACATTTTAATTATCAGTATTGTCCTGCACACCTTTGTGCTCATTCTTGTTTCGTTTATACTCAAAACCAACAATGAAATGTCATATATAGAAACAGCAATAAAAGCTTTAATAGTTCGTCATTGCATAAACTAATACTCCCAAATTAGCCCATAAAACTCAGTGAATTTGCAAATCTTAAGTTCTGAGTGCGAGTTAGTTACTGCTTTTTATTTGCATGACAGATTTACTGAGCAAAATCAAGCAGCTTCATTTCCCAATGCTTCTGCAATGATCTTGCGTGCTAGACTATAAAGCTGACGTAATAAGGGAACAAACAAGGAGCTGGGAACCAAATTAATTAATGGAATTAAACAAATAGATTGTTACAGTTCAGCTGCTAAACAAGATCTCAGTTTTAAATGCCCAATGAGAGTCCTTGTTGTCACCTGCTAGTGGGATTCGGGAGAGCTGGTAGCTTTGTCAGTAAATTTCAAGAGGAGGTAAAGGGTGTAAGAAACAGCGTGGAGGAAAACAAGGACTGTGTGATTGCAAAGGCGGTGTTGTGGCTAAAGGAGCGAAGGAGGAAACTGAAGATTGAAAAACATGAAAAGATTCAGCGAGCAACAGAGGAAGAGTTTAGGACAGCTCTAATGCCGTTTATGCAATGCTGTAAAAGGGAGTCCAGGGATTAAGTAAAGCAGCCCTAACCGGATTTGGTACCATCAATGTCAGCCGTGGCAGGAGCAGTTGCAGGGCTGTAGTTTTCCTTGTGCAAGGTGACTTCGCCTAAAGCTGAGGGCAGTTATCAGATAAAACAGCAGCTCAGGTCTGAATTCGCGACTTCAATCAACGCCGCCGTTTGGCAATCTCTGCTAACAAGACCTAGCATGCGACTTCTAAAGGAGAAATGGGGTTTGCCCATGACATCAGCAGCGTC